AAGCATAATACTATAATCCTATGCTTAAAATGTGTTTTCTTGTGGCCGCCTGACAGCAACCTGAACGTGTTAATAAGTAAACGTTGTTCATTTTCATCAGAAAAATCTCATCAATATGTTAAGAAAAATTCGAGATGAAAAAAAGTAAAATTAAAGAAATGATATTTTTCTATTATGATTTGTCGTAAAGGAAACCGACTGGTGTAGCGTTACACGCTTGACTGACTGCGAGCGAGATAACATGGGCGCAGCAATGACGCAGACCTAGGTGTAGGACCATCTATACTGTCACTTGTAGAATCCAAACTTACTGACTCTTGTAGAAAATTTACTGTACATGTCCACTGTGCTCCGTATTCGTATTTTCAAAGAGGAAAAGGTTGTGTAACGAAACTACGAGATAATCACGTATCAGAAGGCTAAGAAAATCAACTACCAAGCGTGAAGTATAATCCCCCGTTACCGTTGTAATTTCATTTTGAGTCGTTACCCCTAATAACGCTAAAATTCAATATTCTCCCTCAAAGCACGTAAGTAATGTGAGGTGATTTATTTGCATGGAGAATTAGGGGAGACTTCGCCGTTAACTTACAACTATGATTTCGAACTAAATTTCGTCATCCTACAGTAGGATCGTAAAATGCAAGAAGCGTAGTCGAGGAAAGATAGAGTGTAACAGGTTATTACGCAACTCTGGTTTCAAGCGTTTGATATTTAATGTTACCCATGCCCTTCTGTTAACCATAAAAGAGAATTATTTAATCGCCAGACTTTATCCTACTATTTGTACATTTTTATTTTTAAATATTAAGTATCCACGTGTAAGTACTTTCGTAGAAATGATCCCTCAAATATTGTTGTAAAAATTTGCTTAATATATACTAATAATTAGGTAAGTACACTTGTTGTCAATATATCGTGGAATACATACAGGCATGAGTACAAAAAGCAGCGCAATGGTTATTTTCCGTGAAAATTCGGTATCAATACTCAATTCCATATTTCGGCAATGAATAAGACAAGGAAAGAAACAGGGATAGACAAGGATAGCAATAGAGAAATGGGTTGGACAAGGAAAGGAATAGCGGTAGACAAGGATAGCAATAGCGCCGTGTGTTAGACAAAGAGAGCAATAGGAATAGACAAGGATAGAAAAAAGTGGGGCGGCGAGACTATCGCCATCTCGCGTTTGGTTTCACGAACTAACAACTCGTTAATAGGATAACAGAATATAAACAGAGATATTAGACAAGGAAAGCACTAGTGTGCGACAAGGACAGAGAGAGAACGCTTCCTATTGGCTGACGGGCACACGATCTCCACCAATCACGGTCTAAACCAAGTCGGTCGGTGAAAAATCATTAATAACTCATTAATTACGATGATTCTGTGAACTTTTAGAATTGAAGAATGAAGTATGGCCCTCAGGAAATTTTCACATATACTTTTTAGTTCCCTAGACCCTCTCAATAATTAGTTATTAATATTTTTAGTACGTGATGTCGGGAACGATACCGCGTACCGTCAAATATCTTTCCGGTTTTTCAATAATTTCATAGCTTTCTCTTAAATTCCTATGCAAATAACTATATGCATCTGAAAGGCAACTCCTTTAGCTACATTCTTTTATAATTTTTATTATCATATCTTTCGTATTTTAGAAGTTATTAAATATTATATTGAAGAGTTACCGGCTTATCGTACCCGTGCATGCCGAACTGTTCTAAACAATCGTTAATATTTAATTAACCGTATTAGATACGTGTACGAAAATTATTGAAGAATGTAAAGAAAAAACCATGCTACATTCTACATGCATAAAAGTGTACAATTAATCGTGCATTTCTATAGAAATAACGAAAATATGCTATACCGGAATGCGACGAGTTTAGTACTCACCCAAAGAATTATTAATAACTCTCAAACTACAAGGGATATGTTAATGAAAATTATAATAGAATGTGGCTAAATATGTTACCTTTTATATTCATATAGAAACATGTACCGGAAATTGTTACTGACAATGATATTAATGAAAAACCGTACATGTGAGTCCTACCGTTTCCGGCATTCCGCACAATAATCGTTAATAACTAATTACTGGAAGGAGTTGGCGAACTAAAAAGTATATGTGAAAGTTTCTGAAGGTCCATACTTCATTCTTCAATTCTAAAAATTCACAGAATCATCGTAATTAATGAGTTATTAATGATTTTTCATCGACCGACTTGGTTTAGACCGTGATTGGTGGAGCTCGTGTGCCTGTCAGCCAATAGGAAGCGTTCTCTGTCTCTGTCCTTGTCGCACACTAGTGCTTTCCTTGTCTAATATCTCTGTTTATATCCTGTTATCCTATTAACGAGTAGTTAGTTCGAGAAGCCAAACGCGAGATGGGGTTAGTCTCGCCGCCCCACTTTTTTTCTGTCCTTTTCTATCCCTATTGCTTTCCTTGTCTAACACACGACACTGTTGCTATCCCTGTCTGCCGCTATTCCTTTCCTTGTCTAACACACAGTACTGTTTCTACCCTTGTCTACCGCTATTCAATTCCTTGTCTAACACGCGGTACTGTTACTATTCTTGTCTACCCATGTTCCTTTCCTTGTCTAACTTTGTTATTCTAGAACTTTCCTTGTTCTATCAACTCGTCGTCGTAATATGAATAAGTTTGGATTGCATTAACAGTAATGTAGTGATATGTATGAAGCAGGAGAATCATTAATACATCAAGTGTTGAATTATTAAACGAAAAAATACAGAATATATAAAATAAGGGGTATCTCTTGTTTCATTTTCTTGTAATTCGACATCGTTTACGTACGAATAAGGATTTAGTAGTGGAAAAGGATTTTTTAAATAATTTACAATCAAATTGTTCAGAGAATTTATTAAATGATATTGTTTGTACAATGTAATATAACGCAATATTACATAATTAAATATAATTTAATATAAGGCAATGTAATGAGTTACAGAATGTACGTTGTATAATATGTATTACTTTCCGAAGAATTAAATCTACGATTTGTAATCACGTTTACTTTACAGTTACACGGCTTACTATTTCACAATTACAATTAACTATGAAAGCAGCAAGTATAATTCAATTCACTTGTAACATCAGGTTACTGTTACAATAAAATTGATCGTGCTATAACAGATTGCAAGGATACTACTTTTAACGTCGATCTTTCCACAAATCTGTTACATTAAAACGTCGATACAAATAACACTTCCCTACTATTATCATTCCTTCTTTTACAACTTGAAAATTATATAATTTACTTTTCAAAAGTACTTCTTTTGAATTTGTCAAATAGGAAAAGGTACAAAAAATTGTTTTTCGTAAAATCTTTTATTGTTTCCTGCATACATTTCGGTACGCAACACACAGATGTTATTATTAAGTATTTCCAGCTGCAGCTGCTGCTGAGGCTGCAGCTTGCGCCTGTTCTTCGAGGATACGAACTTTCTTAAGTTGACCCATGAATGCAGCCTTATCCGCAGCAGTCTGGAACCGACCATGTCCAAATTTGGAGCTGGTATCGATGAATTTAAGATTGATCTTTTCCAGCGCAGATCGTTTGGTGTGTACTAATAAGGACTGAAAAAAAAATATATACCTTTATTGTAATTGCATTAAATTAACATTTAACTAACTTTAAACTTTATTACATGTATCAGTCCTATCATTAAATATCATTTCAATATCATAACGAATATTTGGCTCTTTAAAAAATTCATCATCAAAAACTTTACGAAAATTTTTTTAAAAGTGATCATAGTTTCTCACCTTACGCAACGTGATCACACGTTTCTTCGGTCCCATACAGCAACCCTTGATCATAATGAAATCATTATTCACCTCACCATAATGGGGAAAACCTCCCATAGGAGTGATGGTCTTCTCAGTACGATCGTATCCAGTCGAAGCATTGTTCTTTACGATCTAGAATATTTTTATAATAAAACACTTTACAACTTTTTCTAAATTAATATTTAATGTGTCACTTGCATATGGGAGACCCAAAGTATAATGAATTATGTCTCTAGGCACTATGACAGCAAGTAATTTATATCTGCCTACCAAAAAATTATATTTTCATAGAAATAGAAAATATAACATTAGGAAGAGGCAATATTTTTTATAAAATACAAAATATCAAAGTAATACCTTGCCATCCTTTGTATGAATTCCCTGTCCAATTCTGTAAATCTTCTTGTTCATCTCTGTACGATGATGATAACCCTTTTGACCAGCACGTGCAACAGTGAAAGATACGCGACTCGGATGCCAAGCTCCGATACAAGCGACTTTCCTCAAACCTTTGTGCGTTTTACGTGGCAATTTCTTTGTATGCCAACGTGACGTAACACCTAGAAATAAGAATACATTTTATATTATTTTAAATTCATTGTGCGTTAAAATCAATACAAATTACAGGAACACATAGTTAAGTAGGACTTCAGTAGGAAGGCAGCACGATAATATCCTCAAAATAATCAGATAAATATAAATCATGCTTTATCATCATTTAGTCCGATTTTTCTCTCTAATTCCCAAGTTTTATACCGAAAAATTATGAAACTGTCAAATGTACCTTTATATCCTTTTCCTTTCGTGACACCAATTACGTCTATCATTTCATCTGGACCAAAGACTTCACTAATAGGTACTGGCTTCTCTAAACGCTGACGAACCCATTGAACCTTTTGCTCGACAGTTCCGCCGTTCAGTTGAATTTCCATAATGTGAGCTTTCTTTTGACGTTGTCTCAACAGTTTCATCTAGTTGGAGATATATTATTTATTAGCAAAAAGTACAAAATTCATAAAATGGAACATGCATGTTTCTACAGTTACCTGTGTATGAGCAATAATTCGTACAACTTTGCAGTACTTGACGATCTTTTTGAAGTCACGTTCTATCGATTTACGTCCAAGATCATCTTGCCATTTTTTGGAAGCCTTTGTAAATGCCTTCTTCTTGCTCTTGTACCTGCAGAAATGTAACCGTAATGGCTGTCTTTTTGTTCACATTTACATCAGCATCCATATCTGTAACGTGCCAGCCTCTTCATAATGAGCGGAGACTGTACACACATTTTGGATCAGCCTTTCAAATGATTACTCTGTTTAAAGGCTTAAATCCAAATATTTGCTCTCATCAAAATGAGTGGAGAGCTGATTTAAGATTGATTTTAATACATGTTTTATAAAGATTTTGTATAAATATATGCATGATACATTAACATGAAAAATGTTGTTTATCTTACCAGTTCTGATAAAATCTCCTACGGCAATCTTCTGATAGATGCTCTGCCCATACTGTGGTTAAAGCACGCAAACCATGTGGAGTTTCAATGTATCCAACTACACCAACTACAATCATTGGTGGTGTTTCAAGAATAGTAACTCCCTCCACAATCTCTTTCTTGTTCACCTCTAAAGTAAAGATAAAAAACAATATATAGAATTACATTTACATTTGTATATACAATAGAAAAAACTATCTAAAATTATAGAACTGTCCCAGGCATGGTTTGTCTCAATGATCATCACCCAATGGGTTCCAAAGAGGTTATGGAATATGCCTTGCCTCCTTGCTCACTGCATACACAGGGCATAGAGTTATTTTTCGACACTGCGGTTGAGACCATACTGCACAACATCAAGCAGCTCTTATACCGCGACCAAAGTTGACCAACACATTTCTGCGCTTATCAAACTAAGGCCACCGTGTCGTATACTATTCACTAATATGAACGTGTACGGTATAAATTCTTTTTTATTCAAACAAGTAGAAAAATTAATCGAAATTACATTAAAATATACTACTTACTCGACCCTGGACGATCGGCTTCTCGAACCACGTGGGTCATACCAGCTTTATAACCAATAAAAGCAGTTAAATGAACAGGTTTGTTTGGATCATCCTTGGGGAAAGCCTTCACTTTTCCTCGATGCCTTTGGGACCTCTTTTTGGGATAGAATCCCATAGACCCATGTCGGGGTGCACTGAACTTCCTATGCGACTGCAGAGAATATACTTCATATTATTTAAATAATTGATATAAACGGTTTAAAAAATATAAATTATTTAGAAATCAGTCCGCCCTAGATATCTTCATGGTTTTTCAGTAATCTAACCATAAATACTAAAGGTGTAATCATCATATCTGACGAAAATGAAACACGTGGTCGCCATATTTTCTCTCGAATTTTGTTGATTTTGCGGGACATTTTAGTCAATATGTTATTCATTGAGCAAAAATTACTTTTGCTAAACAATGTAATAAAAATATGATATTCTTAAAAGTGGAGGCAAGAGAACATAATGAAATATATTTCCTACACTATGTTTGTATATGTACTAACGCTACAACTTACCATTCTTCTCTCTGATAACGACGAAAATGGAGGAAGCACTTCCTGAAATTTCCTTTTATACTTCTGGGATAAACATGGGCTACCAATATTTTCGTAAAAAAGTACCTAGATCTAGGAATATTTAAAAATAAATATTGAATAAGTTTATTTAATATATTTTATTGTAATTATTTATTTAAATTTTACATTTGCATTCTTGTTTTCTCATTTGACAGTATTTCTGATAAAAAAAATTAAAAATTTGAGTACAGTTTTACTATATAGTTTAATTTAAGAAAATATATTTCATTGAAAAAGTTAATAAAGTAATAATCTATTAAAAACAATAAATAAGTAAGTCAACGACAAAATTAATACTGTACGTTATTAACAAATACCAAGAAACTTTTGCAATTGACTATTGCTATATAGACAATACAGTTTTTTAATGGTACTTCTTCCATGATCCTTTGAGTAAGAGTCGCACTACTTCAAATATTGGTCTTTAGGAGACCTGATAATTTCTCGTTTATACTTTGTGAATTCATTTTATTAGAATGGATAGAAAAGACAATGCATTCGTCCAATTTATGGAAACTGTATTGTACGTTTTAGATGCACCAGTTGAATTTTTCCGAGGTATTATCTAATCAGTCATTTGGTTATGTTATTATAATAATTATAGAAGAGTATAAAAATCAATGACAGCATATATTTATTATTTTTAACAGAAAAGATCGTTACACCGAATCAGAAGAAGTATCCCTGGTATCATCAAAAATTTCGTCGCGTTCCAACAATTGACGAATGCTATGAACTAGATGTACTTTGTTATGCAGAAGCACAGAGTCAATATCAACGTGATAAGTACATTTTTTTTCTTGTTAAATTTTTATGCCATTAGTATATTCTTACATTATTCACTACATGTATTAATACATTAATATTTCATTTAAATCAGGATGGTTGAAGATGAGATTCTTAGTATATTAAGACAACGATATGAAGATTGTGCATGGTATTATGGGGAAGATAAAGATGCATATTGTGCTGAGTTATATAAACATTACGAGATTGCATCTGGTGCATGGTTTGCAAAATGTATAAATGCATAATATTTTCAAATTAGTATTTCATTTTATTTCATGTGACTACTTCAATATTATTATTTCAATGAAATACAGATGGAGATATGGGTGCACATGCAAATGTACGTGAAGCATTCATGAAACAAAAGCATCGTATGATTTGGGAAAGACGCCATGGTCCAGTTGGTAGTGGTATAACTAATAAAACATATGACGTATAAGTCATTATTTGATGTAACATCATACATTTCAATTTAAGATTATAGGTGTATTTGCATCATTGTATAGATACTCTGTAAAAAAGAAAATAAATTAATCTAATTGTAAACTTTGGTTTTTAACATTTATAATAACGATTGCAAAATTAATATTTATATTTGCATAATTCAGATGCTTAATTTTCATGTTATAAACTGATTTTTTTTATTAATTTCTTATTCTAAGAACATTTATATCTATCATACATGTATAACAAA